GGTAATATCGGTTGTCTTGAAGTCTACTTTGACTGATACTAATATAACCAGTCTTTCTTGTGATTGGTGTTTGCAAAAGCCTGTCTTTTTATATCCTTTTATTTTTAACCTGTCTTTGTATATTTAAAATGTGTTCTGGTGGAGAGTATATAGTTAGGGTTTACATTTTTACCCATTATGACAGTCAAGATTTAAACTGAGTATAATTATAGATATGGTTGCATTTAATTCTAGCTTCTTGTTATTTTCTGTTTGTTCCATTTGTTCTTCTTTTATTTCCTCTATTTCTGCCTTCTATTGGATATACTGAGTGTTTTCTAGTATTGCATTTTATCTCCTCTGTTGACTATCCTATTTTTTAATATGGTGTTTATATCTTTAATTGATCGCAGCCTGTGTTCAAGTAATACTACACTACTTAACATATAAGAATTTACAAAAGTGTGTTTTCATTTCCCTCTCCCCTCTTTTGTGCTATTTTTGTCATACATACATTTCATTTCTACATATGTGGTAAGTAAACTCTGGTATACACATATTGTTAGTTTTGCTTTACATAGGCAGTTATCTTTTATAGAAATTAAAAGACGAGAAAACAAACAAAAAACCCTTTACCTACGAAGTTACCATTTCTAGTGCTCCTCATGTCTTTGTATAGGTCCAGTTTTCCATCTGGTATTATTTTTCTTCAGTCCAAAGGGCTTCCCTTGTGGCTACCTTCACTGGACATCTGCTAGAGCAGGATGAATTCTCTCAGTTTTTGTCTGAGAAAGGATTTCCTCTTTACTTTTGAAGATATTTCACTAGTTGTAGGATTCTTGATTGAAATTTTCCTCTCACTGCTTTAAATAGGTTGTTTGATTGTCTTAGGCTTGCATTATTTTTGACTGGGAAGTTTTCAGTCATTCTGATACCTGTTGCGTTGTACATAATGCGTCTGTTTTCTGTCTTACTTAAAAATTTTTCTCCTTAATATGGGTTTTTAGCACTCTAATTATGATGCACTTTGGCTTGGTTTTCTTTTCCTATACATTGGCATATGTTAAGCTTCTTACAATGTTTTTAGTTTTAATAAAATTTGGATGTTTCTACCAGTCTTTCTTCAAATATATTTTCTGTTCTTCCTCTTCTTCTGGGACTATAGTTATACTGTTTTAGACTACTTGATATTGTTCCATAGTTCATTGGTTCTCTATTCTTCATTATTTCCTTTTTTTTTCTCTGTTCTTCAGATAGTTTTTACTGCTAGGTTTTCAACTTGACTTGTCTTTTCTTCTGCATTATGTAATCTGCTCTCAATTCCATTCAGCAAATTTTTCATTTCAGATACTGTATTTTTCAACTCTACAAATTTGACTTGGTTCGTTATAGCTTCTTTTTTTCTCATCATGTTTGTGTTTTCCTTTAAATCTTAAGTCTGTTTAGTACAGCTGTTTTAATGTCTCTGTCTGCCACTTCATATCTTCCATTTCTAGATTTGTTTCTATTGATTGATTTTCTTCCTGGTTATATATCACATTTTTCTGCTTCTTCATGTGTCTAATAATTTTTTTTGAATGCTGGACATTATGGTTCTTATGGTTTTATATGTCTGGATTTTGATGTCTTCCTTTAAAAGTGTTAAATGTAGTTCTGTATAGGCAGTTACTTGTGGATATTATCAAGGCTTTTCTTTCAGCTTTGTTAGGATGGACCTAAAGTAGTCTTTATTCTAGACCTAATTTAGCCCTTCTGCTAAGGCTCGCTCTGCCCTTCTGGTGTTTCTACAGAAAGCCCTAGGTGTTCAATAAGGTCATGTCACTGTGGATGGTCAGAATCTGAGCATCTCTGCCCCCCTACACACGTGCAGCTTGTATTCAACATCGGACTCAAGGGGATCTCTGTGAACATTTCTGGATCTATTTCTCTGCTTAAGTTCCTTTCTGATACTGCCCCCAAACTTCAGGTGACTCAGCTTTCCCAAATTCAGTATCTGTCTCCTCACCTCGGTGAGATCATGATGCTCTGCTTCGTTTCTCCATTCTTGCTCTGCACTCTGATTACATCCAGGTCAAAAGCTAAGATCATTATAGGGTTCACATTACTTGTTTTCCTTCTTTTAAGGAACACAATCTTACGATACATTTTGTTGAATGACTGAAAACATTGTTTCACATATTTTGTCTACTTATCTACTTGTTTAGTTGTGGGGGAGGGCATTTCCAGTAGTATCTACTCCATCATGGCCAGAAGTGGAAATCCTTCCATATATCGAGATATATATTTGATATAATAGATACAAGATATGAATTCATAAAGGATATTAGTCACATCATCTCTTCCATCTCATTTTTTAAAAATAAATTTATTTATTTATTTGTCTTTATTTTTGGCTCTGTTGGGTCTTCATTTGCTGTGGGAGGGCTTTCTCTAGCCACGGAGAGTGGGGGCTACTCTTCGTTGTGGTGCGTGGGCTTCTCATTGCGGTGGCTTCTCTTGTTTCGGAGCACGGGCTCTAGGCACGCGGGCTCAGTAGTTGTGGCTGGTGGACTCTAGAGCGCAGGCTCAGTAGTTGTGGCACATGGGCTTAGTTGCTCCGCGGCATGTGGGATCTTCCCAGACCAGGGATTGAACCCGTGTCCCCTGCATTGGCAGGTGGATTCTTAACCACTGCACCACCAGGGAAGCCCTCTTCCATCTCATTTAATGTCGCTCAGCAAAGTAACCATTTTTAGAAGTTTGGTGTGCCTCCTTCTATTTTCCTTTATATATTTAAGTACATTTGTATGCACATGTGCCCATGTATGCAGATATATACATAAATCAAATTAACACTGTAGGTATTTTTCAGCAACATACTTTTTCACTTAGAATATGTTTTAGAGATCTTGCCATTAAAGTATGTATCAATCTTACTTAATCTTTTAACATCAACCATATATTCTACAGAATGGTTTCCTATATTTATTTAATTACTCTGCTTTTCATAGTCATTAAGGCTTTTCCCTCTAACTTCTTGCTCTTATAAACTGTATTTTTAAAAATAATATTGTACAGCACCTCTTCAGATGGTGAATGCTTCTGTAGAAGAAATCACAAAGATGTCAAATAGTTTGCCTGTTGCTTTCCCGAACAGTTTTTACATATTTTTATTACTCCTAAATAATAAGACCCAGGGATTTTTTAAGAAATAGTTGATTTCAGATCTAGGACAGGAAATGCAAGAGGTAGGTCTGGTCCATCTTATCATAACAGAAAGCATGGGAGTTAGAGAAAGATTACTGTAGTCATGTCAAAAGACACAGGATACAGTTTGAAGGGACTATCATTGGTCAAAGATGGGACAATTTTAGGGGAAAAAAAAAACTGCTACGTTAAAAAAAAAAAAATACAGTATGTTCAAAATTTAAAAATCATAAGGATACAAGCAAAGTCAAACTAAAAGCAACATTGGTCACCTTGGGGAGGGAGCTAGGGGGAAAAAATCATTATTCTGAGTACTGGTAAATAATGAATCATGAATTTATCCTATTCTTCCTGTATAAACCTTATTTCAGAGTAAGCAAATACTAGTAAGAGGAATTCCTTTATAGAATTCTACTAATAAATGAAGAGGGAATAACAGAATCAGATTACCATAAGATTGCAGCCTTTTGTTAATTGAAATAATCCCTCTAGAAAATGATCATCAATGACTAGTGATATCCTCAGGTAAAACATGGATAGGAAACATTATAATCAATGTATCCAGCTGACAACACCTAAACCCCTGATCAAATAATATTGCAGAATGAGAGACAACCAGCTGTTCTGTGGCAACCTATATGATGCAATAAGAAGTACACAGCTTTTTAAAAATTGAATCTATTCAAGGCCCTTGATGTAGCTACTCATTTATAGGAAATACGAAGATAGGGGAATTTATTAAATGACATCTCAGGGATGCTATCAGCCATATTTAGCGTTCTAGAAATTCTACTAGATAAATGATCCAGTTTTTTCAATAACTAATAGTCAAGATATAAAAAGGATGGGAAGCTGTTAGAGATTAAAAGAGAAAGATAGGAAATATCAACTGGATGTAACATGTAGACCTTGTTTGGATCTGATTTGAACAAGCCAACTCTAAGAAGACATTGGAATAATTAAGAGAAATTTGAACCATCACTGGGGTTTATATGATATTAAGGAATTGTTAATGTTTTATTTCTGATGTTAGTATTGTGTTCATGTTAAAAGTAGCTCTTGGGCTTCCCTGGTGGCGCAGTGGTTGGAAGTCCGCCTGCCGATGCAGGGGACACAGGTTCGTGCCCCGGTGCGGGAAGATCCCACATGCCGCGGAGCGGCTGGGCCCGTGAACTATGGCCGCTGAGCCTGCGCGTCCGGAGCCTGTGCTCCGCAACGGTAGAGGCCACAACAGTGAGAGGCCCGTGTACTGCAAAAAATAATAATAATAATAAAGTAAAATAAAAATTTTTTTAAAAAGTAGCTCTTTTCTCTTAGGAAAAAAGTGAAATATTACCAGTGAAATGATGCAAGTTCTGTACTTACTTTTAAATAATCCTGTGAGGGGCTAAAGGGGAAGGTCTAGTGACATTTATTTATCTTGGGTGATGATTACATGGGGTTTATTATAGTATTTTTTCTATGTATAAGTGTTTGAACTTTTCCATTGTGAATTTCTTAATTTAAAAATACATGTAGCATTCACAAGCCAAGTGAAGAGAATTTCATAAATCATCAAAATAAGTGTGGAGCTTTCAGAATTTCACCCTAAACGCTTGAAGTGTGTATGTACATATATACCTGCAAGAATGTTACAGAATTTATTTGCATAAATGCTACAGTTGATTTGGACTCGACATGCGCTTATCTTGAAATTAGCATGAACCTAACAGTTTTCATCATAAAACATTCTCATGTTTATCAACACCCTAGAGAAATCTTTGAGGTAAATCTAATGCTGTATATTCATTCTGTTGTATCTGCCCCTCACCAAAGTCCTAATATTTGCTTTCCAGGTGCAGCAGGTACAGACTGTGCAGCAGGTACAGCATGTCTATCCAGCTCAGGTGCAGTACGTGGAAGGAAGCGACACTGTCTATACCAATGGAGCAATGTAAGTTTATGTATGGGAGTTGTATTCATTCTCCCGCTACCTCGGTTAGAGAAAAGTAAGGTACTTTCTGACACCTTCTACTTGTCCCAAATTGATGTTTGAGCTTAAGGCGATGTATGTTCGCTCAGAACAATATTCACCAACAAGGTGAATTTTTGTGTACGTGTTTTCTGTAAACTAATATAAAATTACTATATTAGGAGGGTTTTTTGCATTTATTAAATAGGTACTTACTTTACGTAAAAGTGCCTGGTACTCAATAAATCTTATCTTCCTGTCTGAACTTCTCGTCCCCCTAAAACTCCCAACCCGTCTCCTTTGCATCAACAGTAATGTCAATTTGTACATTTATTTCATTTGAGTTTTTCAGACACTTTGGGTTAAGATTCAGGATGTTATTATAAATAAAGGGACTAATAACTATTATAAGTCACCAGGTTTGTTTTCATTTGCCACAGATTTTTGTTTGCAATCTGTTGGATCTCTAAGTTCTAAAATGAATTCAAATTCTCTCATTGACTCTTCTGTGTGCCCTAGGTTGATAACCTCTGCTTTCTTTATTCTTACTGCACCTACTCCTTGGGTGATTTCATAGATTCCCATGACACCAACCTGTAACTCCATGAGGGCAGGGATTTTTGTCCTGTTTTTGTTGTTGTTGTTTTTGTTCCACTGCAATAAATCTAACACCAGAAGAGTGTATGGTATGTAGAAAATGCATTTATTGTTACCTATTATTATAACTAAACAACTTAAAATCCTGGTTTAACTATCTATTAGTTTTATAATCATGGTCAAAGTACTTAACTATTCTGAGCTTTTTTTACTCTTTTCTGGGAAGTGGGAGGGTAATTGCCTTACTCTTTCTGGATTGTTCTGAGGATTTAAGGCTATGTATGTAAAGCAACTAGCACAGGGCCTGGTATACAGTAGATGATACAAAACTGAAAACTCTTCATTGTTCTTGACTGTCTCTCTTTTCTCATTGCTTTTTGGTCACTGAGTCTGCCTAAATCACCACTGCCTTTAAATCTCCGTTACCTATAAAATAAAGTGGAACTCTCCACCTTGGCATTCTCCCCCTTCCTACCTCTCTAGCTTCATCTTCCGCCTGTTCTAGGAACAACCAACTTTGTGCTTGTTTCCTCAAGTACTCGCCTTTCACACCTCTGTATTTTTGGACATGTGGTTTGTTTTCTCTGCTGGAATATCATTCTCTGCCTTTTCTCTTTCCTTCCCAAACCACTACCCCCAGTATAGCGATATCTTTATAGACTAACACATCACCCCCTTCCTTGAGACGTGGACCCTGGCTCTCCTCTGCAGTTAACTTATTTGTCCCCTGTACGGTAAAGACAGCACTATACCCAGACTTGCACTTCCGCATGGTGCTATGAACGCTTATTTATATTTATCGTACTAAGAAAAACTCTCCCTGAATGGGAACTGTTGTCATTTTGTTATTTTATTTGCATCTGTTTAGGTGATTGACACATAATAAAGGGTCAATACATTTCTGTTACTCTAGTGAATCTATAATACTTTACATATTTTAGACATACTGAATATTTTTTACCTCTTTGTTGTGTAAGGCCAGGGCATCCTGGAGCCTGCTTTTGGAATCTCTACCATAAATCCAAACTCCTGTTGGCATTTATCCGGAAAAAAAATAGGGATGCCTGCCACTTGGTCCTTTATGCTATCAGGGAAAATAAATGGGTTTCTAGACACTGCTAGACGTCACTGAATTGTATTGTCGTTTCATCCTTGCCGGTGGTAGATCTGTCACAACTACCTCAGAGTAAGGTCATTATATACGCTAACTTTGTTCAAGCAGGTACCATTTCCTACCTAGTGTGTTCTCCTAGTTCAAAGATATCCTAGGTAAAGCCTTACCAGACTCCACTGGAGGGCTAAGTTATCATTCTGCCATTCCATAACATTTTATCTTACATTTATTACAGCATTCTGTCAGCTAAGAAACCAAGAAAATCTGACAAAAAGAGGTTTAAAACAAATTAGGGCTTTGATTTTTGTCAGGTAATAAGAAATCCAGAGGTAGCATATTGTGCAAATAACTGACACCATGTGGTGCAAATATAAAATAAACCTTAGTGGAGAAAATCTTACAAGCTGGCATAAATCACATCCCTCTAGTTAGACTGGATTGTACCATGGAAATTGCTCCAGTAGAAGATCTCTGGCCTCACAGAGTGCTTCATATTTCTAGGGATCAGGGCAGTAGACATTAACTGGTTATGTAGTAGAAAAAAAATGGCTTTCTTATCTAGGGAGGAGTGGGTGCCTCTGAAGCTCAGTTCCATCAGCCTGTTCTTCCATTAGGATTAACTTAGACCAGCTGAGCCAGCTTAGTGCTAAAGCTACCCAAAGATGACAGGAAATGAGCCTGTAGAAACATCCACAATTTTACTTCCTCTTAGTCTGTGGCTGACATTAGTTTAGCAGCTCAAGGATATCAGGGCCAAGATTTGCTGGTACAGTAGTTAATTTGCTTTGGTTACAGCCATCACATCTGTATTCCAGACAACAAGAAGAGGGAAGGTGGAAGAAGAGGATATGTTATATATGTTATATACGTACATATATATATATGTACACACACACACACACACACACACACACACACACACACACACACACACACACACACACACACACACACACACACACACACACACACTTTCCCAGAAGCTCCCAGCTCCATTTTGCTTATATCTCATTGGCCATAACTGTGTAACAAAGTAGTAGTTAGGGGACTTCTGTGGTGGCACAGTGGTTAAGAATCCGCCTGCCAATGCAGGGGACACAGCTTCGAGCCCTGGTCCAGAAAGATCCCGCATGCCGCAGAGTGACTAAGCCTGTGCGCCACAACTACTGAGCCCACGTGTGCTGCAGCTACTGAAGCCCGAGCATCTAGAGCCCATGCTCCTCAACAAGAAAAGCCACAGCAATAAGAAGCCCGCGCACCACAACGAAGAGTAGCCCCCGCTCACCGCAGCTAGAGAAAGCCTGCGTGCAGCAACAAAGACCCAATGCAGCCAAAAATAATTAATTAAAAAAAAAAAAAGTGGTAGCTAGCTGCAGAAGGAGCTAGGAATGCAGGGTAGCTTTCATGTCTGTATGGTAGATGGCAGCAAGGGAAAAGGATAGTTGGCATGGGTGTTGAGAGAGTTAACTCCATAGTGTCTATCGCGGTCATTTATCATTGGCCCAAGGTAGAGGAGAGTGATCACTAGTGTGTGACTTTGTGAAAGACACACAGCCTGCTTCACTTTCTTCATTTATGAAATATGGAGATAGCTTATCAAAAGTATTTTGTGTAGCTTCTGAGCAATTGTAAACACTCAATAAACATTAGTTATCACCGTACAATTATGTGCTCTAGGTTTTTTCTTATGTTTCCCTCTCCTGTTTATGGTTCTGACTTCTGTATATTGCCTTGTGCCTTTTAAAACTACCCGACCGCTGACATTAGGGTCTTCCATATAATAGGTAAATGAGAGATTGGTGAGTTCATTCATTCACAAAACCTTAGAAAATCAGCATCTCTAAAGTTGGCTCTTTAAAATTATAGGCCCCATTTAAGTGCAGAAATAATTCAAAGTAAACATCTCATGCCAACATGAATTTTCCATGGCCCGTGAAGTCAGTTGGTTAGATCATGACTAATGAGGTCTAGGTCATGAGTTCATTTGCCACAAAGTCCAATTAGTTTTGATCCAGTCTGTGTGGGCCCAGACTGCATCCTCAACTCCAGCTAATTATGTCACAGATGTGCGCCGTTGGTAAAGATAGAGAAGACGCATCTTTAAAAACCTTTCATTACAATTGCAATTTCAGTACAACTTTTGACTAAAGATTCTGTAGCACCATTTTCATATTTACTAAAGAAACATTGTGTTGCCCTGAATTACACTCAAAATTTTAGTAGCTAGAGGACTATGAACATCTTTCTTCGAATATAACCAAAAAAAATTTTCAGCGTAAGCTATTCCAATCTTTCTGTAATTTTGTAGTGCTGACATTTAACTATGTACAATTTTTGTCTCTAAAGTTCATTTTAAAGTCTTTATACTCCCTCTTTTTATTTGATACACTTCCATGTGTGTTAGGAGAGAGTATTTCATATTCTTCTGCTCCACCATATTAAATTAATAGCCAACTAGTGTTTGGTCCCTGACTTGGATCATAGTGAGATTCCCACTTCTTTGTGATCATAAATGCTTTTTGCTAATGAAACTCGCAGAAGATAGGGATGCCTATCTTTATCGTGAACTTTCAAGCACCCAGTACATGGCCCTGCAGCCTGTGCATGGTTAGTAAGTACTGGTTCACTGTTGCTCCTGTCACCAGTAGCCCCATGCCAAGTAGCCATAATGCAAGGGGTCTCACTCAAGAGGTGATGATAGCCCTCACAGATATGTGTCATCACTTATGAAAATGTGTAATCATTATAATTTGACAATACTAAAGTATTTACTGGTTCTCTCTATGACTGTGGACGTTACTGGTAGCATAACAGGATTTAACAGTGTGAGTCAGTGAGCGAGGATGTATTTCAAGAGAACAACTGAGACTGCTTTATAGTGGTGTGTTGGAGTAGCATAGCTTTTTACTCAAGGGAGAAGTTAACCTAACTCTTGTTTCTGCTTATCATTGCTTCTGTAGGAGCCCACATTTGTGTATTTCCTTGCAATAGTTTTCCCAAGAATATTTTTTACTGGGCTGGACCATAGTCTTGTCCATTGCTATGGATTCTTACCATTTATGATGTCTAATAATTTAGTAGATTGTAATTAAAACAGCTGGAAAACAGTGCATACCACGTAGAGAGAGTCCAATTCAATTGAAATTTCTTGATGTAGCCGAGAAATCAATTTTTTTAAATAATGATTTTTTTTCTTTCCCCCACTCCTTTTTTGACTCATACTTCCTCACTTATTCCTTTATCATATTAGTCAAAGTGGAAATAAAGACAT